AGCGGTACCACAAACAAAAAACTCGTGAAATCATGGTCTGGCGGGTGCCATGTTTTTCGTAGGGATAAATTAGCTACTAGCTGACCCAATGGGGCAGGATGGTGTCCATCAGCTATATGGTGTGAATGGGGATTTTCTGGTTTCCCTTCAAACCAACCCAAAACAGGGGTAACATCAATACACCCACACACAGACACAAACACGCAAAACACAGTGTTGCCCACATGCATACAAGCATACATACACAAACACACAAGCACGAATACGCACAAGCACACACACACAACTAAAACACACACACACACACACATACACACACACACAGACAAACACGCACGCGCAGCATCACACACTCACACACACACACACACACGCAAATTCACACGCAAACAAAACAAAAACACGCACACACGCACACACACACACACACCCACACGCACACCCACCTAACCACCCACCGACGCACGCGTGCGCGCACGCACGCACACACACACACAAGCACAAGCACAAGCACAAGCACAGCACTAGCACATATACGCACAAACACGCGCAAACACCACACACACACACATACAAACACACACACACAAATTCACAAACACAAACGCAAGCACATACACGCAATCACAATCACATACCCGCACAACCACACACACACACACACAGTAACAAACACAAGCACAAGCACAATCACAAACACACACACACAAACAAACACACACACACACACAGTAACAAACACAAGCACAAGCACAATCACAAACACACACACACACCCACACCCACACCCACACCCACACCCACACCCACACCCACACCCACACCCACACCCACACCCACACCCACACGCACACGCACACGCACACGCACACGCACACGCACACGCACACGCACACACGCACACACACACACACACACACACACACACACACACACACACACACACACACACACACACACACACACACACACACACACACACACACACACACACACACACACACACACACACACACACACACACACACACACACTACACACACACACACCATCACCAACAAAACAACACCAACGCATGTAAACACCTACAAACACACACAGAATCAAATGCAAGCGGTATGAGTCTGAACCAAGCCATGTGTCCGTGGAGTCCCCGATTTGGTCTGCTCCGAAGTTGGCGATGTTCGGCTTGATGCCCCCGGTGCCTGCGGCGATGAGCACCAAGCAGCCCACGGTGAAGAGCCAGCCGAGGGACTCCTCACAGACCGTTGTCTTCATGTCTTGCTGGTGTGGCTTTCTGCCATGTTATTGTATTGAACAAAACCAATGGTATGGCTTTATGGCTTTATGGCTTTGTGGACTGATGGCTTCGTGGCATTGTGGCTTCATGTCTTGTTCTTGGAGAAAAAACAAGTATCCCCAACAGCCCAGCGAATATCCCCAACATCACCAGTTGCATGTGTACCTTTTTTAGGGGACCCGAAAAAGGCTTGGCAAATCCCTGGCTTCCCTTTTGAATCCCTAAACCCAGCCCCGAAACCCTCTGGAACCGGAACCCTGAGACATCTGCACATTTTACTCATCCAAAAGCTGAATTATAAGAACTGGATCCCCCAAGCAAAGGACCTTTATCATGGTGAGCTCGTTTTACCCCACAGGCGTGCTCGCTTAAACAAAAAGAGGCAGACCGGCAGTGGGGGCAGATACCCAAAAAAAGGGGCCCGACTTTTTTGCCAAACCCAGTGGCAAAAACAAACGCATGACTGGGATACCAAAAGGGAGCCCGTAGTTTCACAAACCATCTGGTTTACAGGTATGCTGACACTAAACGGAGAACATGCGGACCCAAAAAGCTTGAGCTCGTGGAAAGTGAAAAGTTTCTTCCCATAAAAAGCCAAACACCCTATGGAAGGAACCGCTTGGGATTTTGATGCTCCGAAACCAATGGTCGCTTGAAATGGACAACTTCCATTTTGTGGCTTCCTTCTTCAACCCAACACAAAAAGGTACCCTAAGAAAAGAGATATACCCAACAACTACGCGTCCACAAAGAATCAACAAGCCCTTTCAAGGGAGAAAAAACCGGAGACAGGGAACACAAGCCGAACGGCGGCCTGAACTACTCGCCTTTTCTGTCAGGAACATCTACATCATCTACGGCTTGGATCACTTCACTACAAACGTTTGAAGATTCCATCAGACCAACAAACTGTTTTTCAATACAGAAGGGGTGCTCCCTGGAATGTTTCATGTTAAAATCACATCCCCACCAACACGCGGTCTCTTTCAATGGGCCTGGAACTGGTGGATCACGGCAATGCCAACGCAGATAGTTCCCAGTGCGTAGATGAGGCCAGAGCCGATGATCACCAAATACCGACCCAAGGAGTCGGCGAGCAGTCCTTACGGATCCATTGGGATCCTGTGAACCTATACTAGGTCCTCCAGTAGAGAGGTTGGAATAAGGGTACCCTTTTTTCTGTAGTCTATTTTAGTAGGGGAACCCTCCCCCAAGAAAGGGTAAAAGGGCACTACTGGGGACCTAGTATAGTACACCAACGTAAACAAAGGGATGAGCATACTCGAAAGAAAAAAAAAAAAACGGAGAGCAGGGGACTGTGGCAGCGCACTGCACTTGTTTGCTAGATGTTGATCTGCTTGTGCATGCAAGTCTGCGTTTGCTGTTTGCACTCGCTTTGGCGTTGGACAGGCTTGATCCAATGGGAAGACTGTCTGAGGATTGTACTTGTTGGTTCTTCCGTGTTTTTGGATTGGGCTGTTCAGTTTTCTCGAGTTGTGTTCTTTTTGTTTTGGAAACACGGCACTGCATGGAACCAGAACAACTGACAATCACACACATACTTCAAACGACATCAAACAACACACAATCTACACAGGCCCAACGAAACCAAGTAAACATGCACTGCCGCAGCCCCCTGTTCTGACAAACAAGAGGCCGACTTGTTGACTTTGGACAACTCAGCCGGAGGCCGACGTGACCGAATGCAGCACGTATGACCCCCTGGGAGGAAACGAAAGTCGCGCGGCAAAGGCCGAGGGCCGAGGCTCCGCCCGGGATGCACCAAAAGTAACACAGCATGCTGAAGACCGAATTCAGCGCCGCGGACGTGGATGGAGTCTTTTGCAGCTGGTTCTGGAAATAAATCTTCTGGGTGCCAGCCAGGGTGTAATACGTCAGACGCTCGCAGAGCTCAACTAAGAGGATAACCGCCACCGGCAGCTTCTTGATGCGCAAGCGCTCGCTGTCTTTGGAGACAGAGCTGCTATCCGACTCATGGGAACTCTCCATGGCGCCACAAAAGATCGTCAACGTTCAAACCTAAACTAGCACATTGAGTTCCACCTCCGCATCCTTGGGTGGACATCAAATTTCGGTGGAAATTCAAGTCCAACAACCACTTTTAGGGCTTTCCGGGTAAAAATTGTCGCCGAATCGACCCTTTGACCATTGATTCAAGGGCAAAAATGTAAGGTACTACCACACGATGGCCCGATGGCCCACCAAGCTGGGGAACCAACTCTTAGGAGCTATCCATGTAGAGATGCCACTTGTTCATGTGCCTCGGGTCTTTTTAGCTGGCTAGCTGTGGTGCAAACGTCAGCTTGCTTTGAACATTCACCTCTTCTTGCCATGTCCACTGTACCGCTTCTCAGAGTCTTCCATACAAGTCGTTGCGTTGCTTGCGGCGATCTCCATATTCCAACCATGGGACCATGGTGCTTCTTCGAACCAAAGCAGCGGGGCGGTCTCAGCCTATCCATTTGCAGCTTCAGGAGTATAGTAAGCCGCATTTCGAAACATGGGTGGAAAACACAACCCAAGCACCTGCTTGTAGCAAGTTGTGTGTGTGTGTGTCTCAAAGTCAGGCCAAAGAGAACAACTGGCAAGGCCTGTAGCGCCACTAATTTCTCAGCGGAGTGCTGTACGCGACGTTTTCGCAGGTCGAAAGAGCGGCCGAGCGTCACGTTGCACCCTTTGTCTCGCCTGGAGCTTGAAAGTTAAACAACTTGAGAAATGTGACCAGTTCTAACAAGCAGGAACTAGCAGGATTTTGATACGCATGATTGTGATACACTTTGCTGTATCTCCAGGGGATCCGCCGCTTTTGCCCCTCAAACATCACAAGTGATAGCGCAGTTGCCGGTGAGGTTGGAGACCGCAAAATGGCTTTGGTTTTACTCTTGATTTATTTTTACATCCACCAAACACAGATACCGAGGCGCCAACAAAAAAGGCAATTGGCCGATTGCGGGCTCTGGGCCGCGTTGCGGCTGAGAGCTTGCTCAATTGAAGAATGCGGTGAAACCAAGAGAGCAAGAATTCAGAGTCAGCTCTGCGAGCTCCATAAAACGCTTTCTCTATCCCAAAACCATTCCCAGTTGACAAAATGTACAATGCCACGATAGAAAGGGCACTTTCATGGTCTGTTTCTAGTCGTCGCACTAGTATTTGGGGGCGGATAAAATGAAATTCGCAAACCCCTTGTTGGAGCGATCTGCAGGCAAGCCGAAAGACAAGATTCTGCAAGATCGACAACTCCCCCCACCCCCCATCCATTCCCCGTGAAGAGTCCTTCTTCATGGTGAAATCGGTCACCAGCAACCTCCCCCTGAATCCAACCCCCTTGAATCCAACCTTGAATCAAAGCCACAACAAGGGGAATCAGAATATGAAACGGGTTTGATTGTTGCCGTTGCTCAGTAGGGAATGACCCAGGGTTTGAAGGAACGAGCCTAGGAATCGCAGAAAAACTGGAAACCAGTTGGAAGGTTTATGGGGTTCATGCCATTTCCATAGGCGTCCTTTTAGGGGAAATAGATGGCCCTGGTAGATGATTAAACCACCAGGCAAACCAGGAATCGCCATCTATGTTTCTACCAAAACAACCAAAAAGGACACCTATGGCCATTTCTCTTTCCCTGCCTAACCGATCGCAAGTTGCGGATCAAATAAACGGCTCGGCACTCTCTGGGCCCGCCTTCCCCGACTTCTGGCCGAAGCGAGACGCCTTGTACCTAGCTATCCAGGAGCTCAAGGAATCTGGCGAGAATAAACACGTATGTATATATATATATGTATTATGCAGGTGCATATCTTAGGTGTATATCAACTCACTTCCTGACATGGCCCCAAACCAAGTCCAAACGTTTTGTTCACCACTATGGTCCAAACCCAAAAAGCTTCAAGTGCTCAGGAAATGAGCATATAGATCTACCATGTAGATCATATTTTCGCCCGGATGCGTGTGCCAGGTTTAAGAGCCAATGGACGCTTTGGCAGCTCCTTGACTCACTTTTTGAGTGCCGTTTCGGACTTTCGACTTTTGGGGACACTTTCTTTTTCTGGCTGGTGCGAAAAGCAGGGAAAATGGTGGAATAAACCCAGGGCCCCCTTAAAGGAAACCACCACAAGGGATGCTTTGTGGGTTCATTCCAATTTCTCATTCCCTGCTCCAGCAAGCTTTAGTGGCACACAAGAAGTTCAGACTGTTGTTGCTCAGTGAGTTGACCATACTGTAGAACAACTCCAGCTTTGCCAATTAGCAAACCAGATCTTGAGAGGTGGGCAAACAGCCCCTTCCAGGATGATATGAAGCTTTTTCAGGGATCCATAGGTTCGCTTTGTCAGACCCGCATATTCTCCGTAGAGTAGCATGGAGCAACACAGAGTGGCGTGTATTTTTTGAGGGCTCTCCTTTTCTGCGGGTGCTAAAGGAGACACCATTTTGTGGGTCCCTACAAAAAGACACACTCGAATTAACATAGAGGAATCTCACGGGGGTCAATGATGCAGAGTAATACTCCCCAAACCGCAAAGGAACACACCTTCCGACCCAGAGCTCAATTGGAAACTCAGAGTGATTGGGGTTTAATGTGGACCCCGGATTAATAAACCGCTGTCTATTCATATGGGGGGTGTCCCTGGTTTTAGTGGGGATTCAGCCCACTTTTGGAGGGGAACACTCCCACATTTAGAACCAGGGGCTTAATCCTGGGTCAACATGAATTGCCATCGCGGAAGCCAACCAAAAATAAACCACGGCGCAGTTGAAGGGGATCTCTGCGAGCGATGCACCCTTTCCTTGCACAGCATGTGTGGAGATATGATGGCGAAACGCGTTTCCAAGTTGGATACGTAAATTCTCCGTGGACCTCAGCACTGGGTGCTAAATAGAAACGACAATGAAGAAACAAGCGACAACACGCACTTTTCGGCTGATTTTTCCCAGACATGGGCCATTCAGCACCCGTTGAGAAGTCCTAGTCCTGACGATGAGTGGCCTCATTTTCAGCGTTCAGCCATGGGCCACAGCTCTTGAAGTTCTGTTTCAAAGGCACCCCCGCAAAAAAGGAGAAAAAAAAACAAGAAAACAATAAAACAAGTTGGAACAAGGTACAGGCGATTAGATGGAAGCTCCCAGAGAAGACTTGGTAACCCATTTACAGTGGCTTTCTGGGAGCTTCCGGCTGTTTGTTTGAGGCAGTGCAAAAAGTACAACCTTAAACCCACAGTTGAAGGTAAAACCGAAAACACCCCACAAACAATGTTGTCCCAAGGACAGATTCAAGGAACCAGAGCTTCCCTGCAACAAGAGCCGGGGACAAAAACAGAACCTGCTGGAGTCGTGTGCGCGAGCCCTTGCCACGCCTAGGCCGGCAAAGTATTTGGCGCTTGGGTTTGCGCGTCAGAGCTCTTCTTGGCCAGGAGAGTTTTCATCTCCGCCTTGTTGGCTTCCAGCGTGCCCTTTGGCAACGCTGCGTTCATCAAAGACACCGGCAGGCCTCCCTTGAGATCTTGGAAGATGAACTCGGTCATTTCCATGACGCCCTCCTGGGGAAGTGCGTTGGACACGGCTCTTGCACAGAGAGGGACCACCAAAAGGAGTAGTGTAAACGTTGATGGCCATCTACTTTCACCCCTGGAACCACTACTGGGCCGTCCTCAGATCGTTCCCCTAAAAGTCTAACAATTCGGAAACCCCAACACTAAGCCAACTAAAAGGGTCTAAAAAGCTAAGGAACCGGTTGGCTGGGATCCACCAAGACTAAAAACTCAAACATGTGAGGGGCCACCCCGCTCCTCCGTCTCGCTCATCTTGAAGACGCAGCTGTTGTAGTAGTAGGCGCGAATGATCCCGGGCTTCTCCGGGCACTCCGGGTGTGTCGTGGTGCGGATGCAAACCTTGCAGCCAAAACACGCTGGAAGTAACAGCTTCAGCTTCTGGGGGCATGACAAAATATGGGCCAAATCAAGGAAACCCAGAGGGTTGAAAACAGGTCGATCCGTTATGGGCAACTGAGAAACAAAGATGCTTCCATCAGCACGGCGGTCGATGGTGTACTTCCAGCAATGATCTCGGGGCGTCATACCTTGGCCCGACTTAAGGTCTGCCCCCAGTAAAAACTTAACTTGTTGCAGGTCCAGAGGGAAGCACAAGGGCACCGACTTACTTGCTGAATTGGTTGGCCAAAAACAGTCAAAACTTTTTGCTTGCCCATAACATGGTCTTCCCAAGAAGGAAAAAGTCCAGGAACTCAGGAAAGGAGCCAAAAGGGACAAACGAGCCATGTGATTCGTTTTGCTTGGCCGTGATGCAGGGTGCCTTGACACGGCAATATTTGATGAATCCATCAGGCAATGTCTCCACATCCTTCCACTCCTTCATACCTGGAAGCTCCGGCTTCAAAAGGAAGCCAAGGAAATCCTCAGGCACAACGCCTTTGTATTTGCCATCGCCTCGAAGAAGCTTGTTGGGATTTCCAGACTCATGGCTCCTCAAACTCACCCTCATCTTGAACTGTTGCTTGCTGTAGTCTTTCGCCCAATCACTTTTGATCTCCCATCCGTGTGGGTTGCCAGGTCCTACCTCTTCAGCCAGCAGCTTCTGGAACCTCTCGTACTCATTCTGGTCGTCCTCTGCTGGCAACACGCGGTCGCCTGAGGAACAGCAACAGCAGCAGCCCATTTCAACACGGTTGAGAGAGCACAGTGATGCGACTACTCTTGACACATGCCTGCGGCTGTCTTGCGGTTCCGTCGAAGCAGGAGCACGGCTTCTGACGAACCATGTCCGTTCACCAAGCCCCAAGTTGTACAAGGTACCATTTACTCGGTTTCAACTTGTCGCACATCAAGTCCCAATTCCCATTGTCACAGGTGCACATCGGAACCTATTGAATTCTTCGCTTAAACAAACAGGCCGTTTGGGAACTACGTGCGGATGTCCACCAAATGCGTGGCTGGGACGGGCGGGTTGCCAACCAGCAGTCCGCAACTTCGGCTCCTTGATCCCTTGCTGAAAGTGATTTGTTTAAGTGGGATTAAACATGTAAAATGTAAAATCCCTGCAAAACTAGTTGTAAAAAGTCTAAGTTAGAACTAGCCATGTGGGGTTAGCTTTCAGCCCCTGGAGAATTTTCCACCCGCCGGGCACATCGCGTCAAAAACCACGCGGTCGGGGTCCTGCTCGCCTTTCCTGACGCGATGCAGAAGCTCGACCAGGTCCAAGCGACCGAAATCTGCGTCCTGTTTGTTTTTTTTTTTTGGGGGGGGGGGTGGTGAATTTGTGGCTTGGACTCCAAGGAAGTCATCATGTTTTCATCATGTTTCATCATGTTTCATCATGTTTCATCATTGTTCATCATTGTTCATCATTTCGCAAGGGTTCTCCTCTTTTGTGCAGAAAGAGGACAAATCATGAATCCGCGAGAAATGATGAACAAATGAAGAAAACATGACGGGGCCAAACGATGCCAAAACGATGAATAAATGATAAAATAAGCATGGTTCTCAATGTTTGGCTGCCCGAAGATCTCTTGAGCTTGGAGGTTGAGGAGTGGTTTCCATTTACCATCTAACCGTAGTAGTGGCGGAAATTGTTAGGCGTAGTTGCTCTTATGGGTGTTCTTCTTGTTACTGAGATTGTTCTTTTGCTAATGTTGTTGTTAGCAGTAGTCGAGTAGTTGTAGTAGTAGCAGCAGCAGCAGTAGTAGAAGCAGTAGTAGTAGTAGTAGAAGAAATAATAAAGTAGTAGCAGTACAGCAGCAGCAGCCGTCGTAATAGTAGTGGTGGTAGTGGTTGTGGCTGTGGTAGTGGTAGTGCTAATGCTAGTGGTAGTGGTGGCGCTGGTAGTAGTAGTAGTAGTAGTAGTAGTAGTAGTAGTAGTAGTAGTAGTAGTAGTAGTAGTAGTAATAGTAGTAGTAGTAGTAGTACCACTACCACAATTGTTGTTGTCGTTGTCATTCGTATTGTTATTAGTATTCTACTACTACTACTACTACTGCTACTGCTACTGCTACTGCTACTGCTACTGCTACTGCTACTGCTACTGCTACTGCTACTGCTACTGCTACTGCTACTACTACTTCTTTTACTACTACTACAACTACTACTACCCGCACCGTGGTTCGCCCAGAACCACTTTGTTGTACTTTCTGGTCTCTTCCCAGCCTTTGGCTTAACTTGCCCCATTTAGGGTTCAGTTAACTTGCCCTCAAACCCCCCCGCTTAGGGTTTAGGGTTTACCCCCCCCCCTTAGGGGTTTAGTGTTGGGTTTAACTTGCCCTCAAATCCTCACTTTAGGGCCCAGGTTTTTGGTTTCACTTGCCCTCATTTAAGGTTTAGGGTTTAACTTGCACTCCAAACCCCCATTTAGGGTTTAGTCTTGGGTTTAACTTGTTTCAACGCCCTTATTGAGGGTTCAAGGGTCCCCTCCCGCGGTCGGCCCGCGCCTCTCTCGTTCCCGGCCGAAAAGGTCGAGGCCCACCAGGTCCATCATTCGTGTGGGGCCCATGCGCATACCAAAGGCCTCGGCTCGCGCCCGCCGACAAGGGCCGGAGCCCCGAACAGGGCTCTCACCTTCGCTCGAAGAAACTCGCCGGAAGAATCAGCAAGCCACAGGCATAAGCGATGAACTCCTTTATGATTAAAAATTGGCGAGTAATGCTTGAAACCACTTTCTGAAACCCTAGCCCAATCCAGCTGTGGGAGCAACTACTGGCACGGGCCTAACCCGGGCGCTCGGTGCCTCACACAAGGTGCTTTTCTCAAAGTTGAAAATGAGGAGCATCAATCGGGGCTTGGGCTGGTTCTGTCTGTGTTTCAGGTTGGTTCAGGTTGGTTTGGGCTGGGATTGCTTGGGGATCAACCAACCAACCAACCAGCCAGCCAGCCAGCCAGCCAGCCAGCCAGCCAACCAACCAACCAACCAACCAACCAGGCCAGCCTGCCAGGGAAGGGCTTTCCGAAGGAAAGAATGTCGACAAGAAACAAGCCTTGAAGCTTACCCTTCCATTCACGTTGCTGTGGAGCCTAGGTCCCTTAAGGAACATGGTGCTTCAGAAGCCCCAGGTTTCATGGTGAGTGCGAAACAAGCGTTTCAAGCAGATCCAAACCAGCTAAACACAAAGATATGGGTCTGTGTCAAAATACGGACACCAATCACGGTGGCTTTCCCTTGGCTTCCCTCGAGAACCACCCCAAAAGGAATGCTCTTGTGTTTCGCCTTTCAACGAACCTTAAAAGGGTACCCCTAAAAACAGAAAAAAGCGCCAACCTACGTTGGTGTTCCCCGCACCTCTGCCGCAGCGTCGATCTGGTGGGGCAGCAAACCTGCGCTGACTTCCGTTTCCCGGTGCCCTGTGGGCCCGCACGGCCGCATAAGCAACCCCCAAAACAGGGCCGATGTAAAAACAAAATTATTTCTGTATATACTGGTGCGCTTTACCCCTAAATAAACATGGAGCACGAAAGGGGGGGCTTAACGGAGACCCCCTAAAACAGGATCTGCTTTTGGACTCTCACTAGCTAAGGCGACGGATGCCCCCTGCACAATTCCACAAGGCAGCCTGAGGTATACACACTTCCAAATGCATCCTTGGCACAAAGCTGGTGCGCAAAAAAGCAAGGTTCGGGTTGTGTTTCGTACATGTTCCACAGCGCGAATTTTAGCCAGGAAACTGCTCAAACAACTGTGTAAATAATCATCTACATCGGCTTACCGGCTTCTGCGTGCTACATGGTGCTGTAAGGTCAGGGTATGTTCAAGCCTGGTCCCTAGACTGTTCTTTTTCAGCACCACTTGCAGAAACGATGCTTTATTTTGTAAACTTGAGCACCAGAACGGTTGTTTGAACAGCAAAACATATTTTAGAACACCAGTGGGATTTGGCCATGCGTATTTTCCATTTTACGTTGCCTCGCGAACGGAACGGGTATTGAACGCAATACGAACGGTATTTCCAACGCCAGATCCTAGGCATGGCCCATGAACGATGTAAAAAGTAATCGCAAAAAGGAGCTGGATTGCCCAAACGGCAAACGCAACACACTCGAGGGATTCCTAGCAAGTGACGTCGGCCACCCAGCGGTCGGTCGGCTCCGCACCCAAGAGCGGCTTTTGTAGCGCCAGTGTTGACATGGCAACACAAGGCAGGCAAAGCGATCATGGTCCTATAACACAAGAATAAAAGTAGCAGTTGTGGGGGGCAGGAGCATATGACATCGAAGGAGAAAGCTCATCAATCACTTGATCAACGATGTGCTTTTTCTAAGGCTGACCCTTGCAACATCCCATGTCTAGCAAAGCGACTCGCTACAAATTGCGCAAGCGCTCAGCAGCAGAAGAGTCATATCTGAGTGTGTACCTGACACCATGGCCATTGCCATGGCAATTGAGAACAAAGGGTAGCCAGGGTAGTTGCTTCTATGTCACGCTTGGAACTGACCCGGCCAACTTATCTACAACTCAAGGTCTGGTTCCAGGGAAGCCTGCCTTCAAAGCATGGTCCAACTATGCTTGGTTCATTGCTATGATTTCCGGAAGTTGACTGTTGGCCACCCCTTCCCCCGTTTTGCTGCCCACTTTTGTTGGGGGCGGGGGCCCAGGGGGGGGTGGGGTAGCATCCAACTTGAGAGACCAGGATTTCACGCACGTTCTTACTCGGAGCCCAATATTGGATCACAAATTTGATTTGGTGTATCGTTTGGTCTGGCTGTGGACAAGGTGTGGCCATGGGTCAAAATCCCGTACCCCCAGTGAACATCCCAATCCCCACTGAAATTGTTTAAAATGGGTGCACCTACCCCAAAATGGGATCCCATTGGTTTTGACCCACAGCCATGTCGGTAAATAGACCACTTGGGCCATGTCGATGGCTCAATGTCCGAAAAAATGCGCAAGCAAATTGCTGGTCACTTGCCCAAGGTGCAGGGAAAAGGTAGCGGCCGAGTGCTTGGACCCCTCCGAACACTAGCTGCAACATGATCCCTCTTTGGTGAACACTCACACACAAATAAACCTGGGAAGTGAATCCACTTTTTGGCCCATATGGCAACCTGTTCTCCAAACAAACCGGCCCTAGCCGTTATCCCACACAAGCAAATACATGATTATCTTATGATCAACGCTTAGGTTGGTTGTTAAACTACCCCGCAACCCCCATTCTACCTATTTGGGCCTTCGTAGTAGCCTCCCCACTAACATGGCACATGAGCGGCAACAAGTCCGGGGTACTCCAATCTGTTCGGACTCTGCTCCAGATTGACTACCTATTCAGAACAATGTTTGCAAGAGACACTTGGCTCATTTGTTTGCAGGCCAGTGAAAAAGAAACGACTTCCCACAAAGATAAACTCAGATGCTCAGTGGCCACGGGAAAAAATGGGCATCTTTCTGGGGCTGGTTGAGTTTAAAGGGGAACCCTTCCCGACCAAAAAAAAAAGAAGGAAAAAAGGGCGCCGCTGGGCAACTGGGTAAAGTCTAAAAATATTACCCAGGAAGCCAAGCACAAACATGTCACACCTTGACCCAGGCCAATTTTTCCTTTCGCGCCTCCCTGGATGAGATGCGTCCAGCCCGAGACATTCATGACCTCGAAGGCACCCACAAGGGAGGGGGAGACGGTACCATTCCATGCACTGAGCTTTTCGTATGCTGGGCGGGTCCTGGCCACCCCCGCTTATTGCTATTTTGTGCCCCCCCCTAAGCAAAAGGTCGAATCATGTCGAATCTTTTGTAGGTTCGATGGTAAAGGCATTGTTTCCGCAAGGTCTAAGGGGCCAAAGACCAGCCGTGCTTGGAGCACCAAGCTCTAGCAACTGAACAGAAACCTCATGGCGCCTTGCACACTTGAGTGGTGAGGGTGATGGGGGGAAATGGGCCCGACACCAACGACACCGACTATGACAACGACGACAGCGGCAACGGCCACGATAACGACCACGACCACGGCCACCTCAACCACAACAACAACCACAGCCACACACACACACAACATCGACAGCATCGGCAGCAGCAACAACACAATAGCACCATCAGCAGCAGCAGCAGCAGCAGCAGCAGCAACAGCAGCAGCAGCAGCAGCAGCAGCAGCAGCAGCAGCAGCAGCAGCAGCAACAACAACAACAACAACAACAACAACAACAACAACAACAACAACAACAACAGCAACAGCAACAGCAACAGCAACAGCAACAGCAACAGCAACACCAACAACAACAACAACAACAACAACAGCAGCGGGTGGGACATAACCCATTCTGTGATACCAAGGTGGGATCCCCTTGCATGCGACTACTTGTCAATTTAGCCACTCACACTCTTTGAGACTGTCCCACGAAAGGCGCCAACAAAACAAACAAAGACAACTTGATAATGGCATGAAGCCAAAGCTCATGCTGGATGACAAATGGGTGTGGCTTCTTTCTTTTTGTAGGGTGAACGGTTTTTGAGTTCAAAGGAGACCAAAAGAAAAACCTTTCCTGATTTGCCCCCAGGTCAGCTTGCAGCCTTTTCAGGCTTCCAGGTAAGAACAAGAAGGCCACATGCGAGACACCTTCCATATACAAGGGGGGGGGGGGAAATGACAAACCCCCAATTTCGGTTGGGATTTGAAGCTAGACTTACACGAAAGCCTTGTCTTTGGGGTAAATGGGCTGATCTACAATAAGCGAGAACGACTTTGCCTTAAGAGGAACCTGAGATGAACACTTGGACCTTCATCACACCAGGAATCCTTCATGGCCTGTGCAAGAGTAAACGGGTACAGCAGCTCGGTTGGTTTCTGCTCCCCTGCTATTTTTTTTACTTTTAGTGGTTTGATGGAAAACCCATTAGTTGGCAAAAGGTTAAAGTCCTAGTATCCAAGCAACATGCACCTAAGTAATCATTCAAGCAAGGTGCTGGCACAAAGCATCTCTGAGTTTGTGTAAGGAAAATACCACAATCTGTAGCAAGTGATGCCAACTAAATGACCTGCGGCGTGGGTGCACTCGTATTGTTTACTGTAGGCAAAAATGCGCAGATAAGCTCTCGGTGGAGGGACCAGGCATGCCAGGTTGTTCAGACCTGACTGGTGGGCAAAATGGGCTCCACCCTTTGGTTGCCAATCAAAAGCTAGAAGCCTTCAGGGCAGCATCTCAACTTACATCTCAACAAATGATGTCCCCTTGAAATGTTAAACCAAAGAGAGGGACGCCTTCAAAGAAACTCTGACTAAACTAATCTGGTGCGGGAGATTGTGAGGATTTGAACAGGAGGACACATGCGTGACTAAGGTTCTTGGGTGGACTATCCCACAGGAAAATTCGAAGGAAACCGCCCCTTTTGGGCCGAATCACAACACGGCCCTTCAGCTCACGCATGTTAGAACACCAACATGGAAATGTTTGGTTCGTGGCATTCCGCTTGAATTAAATAAGCCTCTGAAGATCCCTACTATTCGCTGATCCGGGAGTTTAGCAGCTACTAGTGAGTTCGGCATGGAAGATCAGTTGCTCCGCTTCGCAGATACCGGCTCCAGGCGACGGTCAGCCACGGTGGATCCTTTCGACGGTGGATCCTTTCGACCGGGATGAGCACTCCATCATGCTCCCGCAACCAACAAATCTCATGAAATCTCTTGGTGCGCCGTCTCTCGGAAGAGTCAAGAGATAGCCAGTGATGAGCACGACACCCCAAACAGATATGCAAGGTCGTGCCTTCCTTTGCTGAAATCCTCACATCGAGGCATCTTCACTCAGGTCTCAAAGAAGTAGCAACCCGACTGGCCTAAAGCCTCCACTTCGCGCTTCACAAGTGAGATTGTTCCTCTCCTGATACATTCGAAGTTTCGAATGCCTCACACATTTCAGGGCACCAAAAGCTCGTTTTCCCATGTGCACAGGCTCACGGCGCCAGATGTTGATGGCCATAGTGTCCTCCCAACCCCGCGTGATTATACATATATGTATATATTATATATATATATATGCCCCCCCCCCCCCGCCCCCGCCCTCCTGCCCCGGCAGGGCCTACCTTTCCACTTAGATTCTGCACAGTGTGTCCATTCATCAGCTTCCCTCCGGTGGCTTCGTTTCGTGATTTGGACGTGGGCCACCTTCCCAAACTTTTTAGGTGCTGCGGTTCAAGTCCAAATCCAAACCACTACTCCAAACCACCGAAGGGGTAACCTGACGCGCGATGTATGTCTATGAGATCCCACGGGAATTCCGGCCGTCGACATAAACCCAGAAAAAAAAACACGGAAAACCAACACACACATCGCGGCGATCCCAGGTTTTCTCAGGTTCCAGGCCCGGTTCGCGATGAAGCCGGGACAGTTGCCCACTAGGCAAGTGACCTACGGGACATGTTCCAGGCCCTTCGGGATAGGACCAAAGGGGTGGCAAGCTCCTTTAAGGACATGATCTATTTTAGGGGTTCCTCTGATTAGTAGCTTCCTTTAAAATAATCCGAGGTTGACATCACAGGACAAAAACCATTTCGGGCACCTGAGGTGAATGAAACCCGGGGAAGGTCGTGATTAACCATAGGGCAGGATTTTGTGCCACCAGTATGTGGCTGGGAACCTCAGAAACGCCGTAAGAACCGAGATAAAACCCAGTCAACCTGCAATTGTCCTTCCAAGCAACTAGTCTCTGGTCGATATCGCTTCCCCAACCAAGACCTTGCCGATTTCTTAGAAACTCCCTGTTCTATGATGCCTGGAGAAATATTTGGGCTTCAGGGCATTCTTATCAGGTTGGTTTAGAGGAGAAAAACCGCCAATCTTGGGGTCCCCCGATTTTGACACATACGATTTATCATCATTCAACAAACTAAATACCGCACGATCAATCCTCCAGCTGAATATTAAGTGACAAAGAAAAGATAAATAGAACCCTGATGCCGCACGAGGCAACAAGAACAATCGGAGAAAAACCAACAAACTAACCAAACACAAAACACCGAGAAACCATCCCAAAACACAAACCCAACAACGCCAACCACCAAACCACCAAACCAACCAACCAACCAACCAACCAACCAACCAACCAACCAACCAACCAACCAACCAGCCAACCCGCCCGCCCGCCCGCCCGCCCGCCCGCCCGCCCGCCCGCCCGCCCGCCCGCCCACCCACACACGCACTCGCTGACCGACCGACCGGCCCACCCCACAAACAAAGAAGCAAGCAAGCAAGCAAGCAAGCAAGCAAGCAAGCAAGCAAGCAAGCAAGCAAGCAAGCAAGCAAGCAAGCAAGCAAGCAAGCAAGCAAGCAAGCAAGCAAAGAACATCATGCGTGCCTTCTTCAGCTTGGCTCCAAAGGCCATGGCCTTCGCCATAACCTGCGGCGCCTCAGGAACGGACTGTCCCAAGAATCCCATGGGAAGCCGACTTGGATCTGCAAAAAATTGGCTGTGGGTCAAAACCACTGGTACCATTTTGGGCTAGGTGCATCACCCATTTTAGTCTACTTTAGCAGGGATTGGGATGTTCACTGGGGGTACGGGATTTTGACCCATGGCCATATGACAAAATTGATACTGTTGAGACGATGTGCATAGCCCTTAAGGTGCTACGCTCAATGGCATGGGCATAGAATCATGAAACACATATTTTGGGCTGACATGCCCACCATCTTAATGGCATGGTACACCCAAATGCAATGCTCTTGCCGGACATCTTTTCTTTTTGGTGCCGTGGTTTTGCTGCTTCTCTCGCTTTTGCTGCGTGCAGGGAGCACCAGGCTGGACCTTTCGTCAGAGGAATGCAAAGTCCAAGCACCAAAACTCCAAAAGCTTCAGATGCTTCACATGGGTGTGATGTATTTATACTCTAATCATCCTGAACATCTACAAAAGCGGAGGAGACTCCAGTTAGGAGGCAATCCTGGACGCACATTTTCTGTGCCAAGGTGCCGTCCGAGGTCCGCGAACGTTCCTGACATGGAAAGTCCGTCAATTGGGGACCCCTTATAGGATGGTGCTACAAGGGAAACTACATGGATACCAAGAAAACTCCCAACGAACATGTCACTTCCGTTTGGCTTCCCAATTGGGATCCTCAAACAAACTCGCCACGAGGTTTGTTCATGTAAAGCGAAACAAACAAATAGGATATGTTGATAACCATCCTGAGCCGTCCTGCGCGTTTCTTAAAACCAGGTGCCGCTCAGGTGCCCCTTCTGAACTTCTGATGCCTGTCTTTCTTGCGGACGCCTCCCAAAATCATATTAGGTTCAGGGATTAACACTCTAAGGGCTGATTCCCCCGTTCTTTTCCCCCATCCTTCTCTTTGGAAGCCACCCATTTCCCAGGGATTTGGCCCGGACAAGGATCCCGAGGAAAGGACAACTGCAGCTAGACTTCTGGAAAGGCAAACAAAGTGCCCAAGTTCCCGCCACACAAAGGCGATCATTTCAAAATCTGAAACCAAGGAGCCCCAAATCAGGAAGCTTCATCACAAAATTAGGTGCAACATTCAAAACACTTCAAGGGCTTTATCCGAGCTTGATGAGTACAAAACAAAGCATAACAGCAACAAACACCCAACTTTCTTTGCCCATCAAGGAACTCCCCGAATGGGTTTTTTTGCCTTGGGCGAGCTCGCTTTGTGCTGTTTTTGAAGAGACGCCTACCACTGACCCCAATTAACACTGCGGCAAATGGTACCCTCTTCCCTAGGAACACGTCCTAAAGCAATGGTTGAAACATATCATGAGTTTACCCATGGCTCAACACCTCTCAATTAAACGGAAAAAAAAGGCCAGCCACATGGAAAACCACATGTTTCCGTGTTTTCACTTCAAATCTCCGAGAGGCCCTTTTCAGGCAATTTTGACGGGGTTGCACAAGGCCCAACCAGTCCCCAAAAGGGTCTCTTTTGCTACCCTATTTGGGTACTCTGAGAGGGAAAAGGCAACTCAATCATTCAATCCAGGTTCGCCTCAAAATCGCTTCATATTCTGGAGCAGACCAACTATGAGACATAGTCTGAATATGTTATTGGTGTAATGTTGACCCCGGATCAATAAACCCATCCTGTAGGGCCGTGCTCCCTCCAAAAGTGGTCCGTCAAAATCAATCGGGTTCTGCTTCCGGGGTCAATATTGAGAGTTGGGGCCAGGATCCCAAGCCAAAGTCAGGCTGTTTAGAGGAACCTTGGGCGCCCTTTGACGTACCCGCAATTCTCCACGCATCAAAATCATGATCTGTCTCCAAAGCTTCAGTCTCTTAAAAAGGAAAACATCTTTCCGATGATACATTCCCTCACTTGCTGAGTGGATGGCCCAAAAAAAGTTCAAACTTTATATTTACAACTAAAATGGTCTTCCCAAAAAGTTTAAAGTTCATGAACTCAGGAAGTTAGTTCCATTTAGACCCAACAGAACATGCAAGGTGTTACACGCTTTCTGGACCCAAGTCAGCCAAGGCTCTCGAGCAAAGGCATCACATTCGCGGGGGAGAAGAAGTGACAGCCCACTACGTCCTATGGGCTGGAGGCAGGCTCGAAATTTCCGCACCCTCGCCGCCCAAAAAAACAAACAAACAACAAACACAAACATGAATCACAAGGGCACATTTTTCAGGGGTTGAGCCTTGAAGATTAGAATCGGTTGCACTTTCAGAGGGACGCGAAGGGAGTCTGTGCCCTACAGCTACGAAGGGATGCGCCCTTTTTCAAACATACTTTGCCAAGAAATCCTCCTCCAGTGTTTGTGCCACTGCCCTTTGTGGATGTGTTTTTTGGTGCTGGCCAGAAGGAAATCCAGCATTTCGTATTCAAATCCAGCATTTCGTAGCAACATATATTCCTATTCAATACTGATAACAATAGCGATCATGGCGCAAAATCATCGATGCGGACTCTTTTGAGGCAAAGCGAGTGTATTCGGGGTCCGTGCCATACCGGATGACTGGCGAGAAAAAAAGGTCCTCTCTTTACGTGTAAGTCGCTGACTTATCATAGAGCCAACATGCTTGGCTCATGTAAATATGGCTGTTGGTCCAAAACAAGTCCAACAATGGAACCCAGGAGAACGGAAACGTGAACTAACACACTAAAACCTGCGGTCCCCTGGTGGCCCTGGTGGTTCAATTTGGACCCATACTTAGGATGTAGTTGTGAGTACACATGACCAGCGCCCAAAGCCCATTAACATTTGGTTCTGCCAAGCATATCACGGTGTACCTTTGCCAATCCAAATAAACCAGGCAACTAAGCCTACTAATACTAAATTGGTGGCCATGGGGACCAAACGTTTGCACCATTCTTTGGTAATATATTTCAAAAGGATACCCGCCTTTGCCTAAAGGGCCTGGCACAAAAGGTGATCAGCTTCTGTAACCTTGAGAAAACATGGGCCAAAACCGGCAAACCAAAAGGTCAGATCCGGTCGCGTTGTTTTGGGCAACTGAGCCTCCAAAAGGAAGACCTCTCGGAGAGACCATAATGTGGATGGCCGAAATCCGTTCGCACCACTTTGAAACCATACTTGAAAACATCGTGTCTCGATTTTTACAGGGGGTCGAATCATTCCCTTGGGTTTCTGAACGGTGCGAAATGGATTTGGGCCATCCACCCTTGGTTGACGTTGGAAGGGGAGCAACAATTTATTTCTTAGCAACCAAGTGGGGGTTTCCCACTAAACCACAATAAGCAAAAATGTAAAATGTTTCCCAATAACAACCATCCACAGGCGTGGGGAGAATGGGCTCCAATGGCGCGCGCCTGCGGCCGCTTGGTGGCCTCCGCGATGCTGTCGATGTTTAGGCCGCTGGTGTTGGAAGCGAGCACGCAGCCTCTCGAGTTGCTTTTAGGAGCAGTCAGCACGGCAACGAGAAAAAACTGGGTGTCGATTGGTGGTTGGTTTATATAAACGGGGTGTCATTGGTGGTTTGGTGGTTGGTTTTCCATTCAACTCATGAGTTGCTCATTTTTAGTAGGGGATTAGTTTGGATAGCCCAGCAAAATAACTACACTCCCATCCTTTTCACATGGAACCTGACGAACGGGACCCGGTCCCTTTAAAAGGATTGTCTAATCCAGGACCCGCCGAACGTCAGGTTCCATGTTAAGTGGTGGGAGGGTATACAAACTCGGTGTCATTGCTTCAGAGAGCCCCAAAATGCTGGTTCTTCGTTTGGTTTCCCTTGAAAAACCGACAACAAAGGGTGCCCTCAGTCAAATCAAGACACATCGAGATGAGTCCAGTTGAACCAAGGTCAGTTGCTCCAGTTACGCTTGGCCCAGGTGGTCCAGGCAGCTGCGCGCAGAAAAGGAGGCGCTTCGCCTCAAGTTTGGGGACCAGAAAAAGCGCCTCAAAAAGAATGAGTCCATGTTACACCTGGTTGGCTCAGCTGAACACTGTCGGTCCAGCTGAACACTGTTGGGCCTGTTTTAATTGTGGGGCTCGAAATGGTGATACATTGGGACCAAACGTTGAAACGTGCAATGACGTCAACGAAATGTTGGCTTCTGAAATCGATTAGGTTTGCGGGTTTGGGCAAAGAGCGTGAGTAATTTCTGAAAAGTCCATTGCACCCAGTTAGTCCAGTTGTTCAAGTTGAACCCAGTGGGCGCAGTTGTGCAAACAGTCCCACGCCTGAGCCAACCCTGCTCCACCTGTAAATCAGCTCGTTTCAGTGTTTCTCCTGTATGTAAGGCCTCCATCTTTGGTTGGGACCAAACGTTGGAACTTAGAAACGCAAAAACGTGCTGCACAGGTCTCATTGAAATGTTAGTTCCAGAACGAGTCGGTGTACGTTGAGTTTGTGGGTTCGAGCACAGCATGCGAATTTGGAGCTGTTTCACCTCGGAGCCCTTCAAACACTCACGGTCCTGTTGCCTGGTTCTCACTTGCCCAAAGAACCTGGGAATAAAAGGTTAACCTTTTGGGACCTCTACTAAAAATGGACCAACAAAGGAAAACCAAAAGGTCAAAAGGTCGTCTTTGAACAACTGAGTGTTTGTTTTCACAAGTGAACGAAGGAAATGAACCGGAGGGTAGCCAGTTGTGGTGAAACACAGGCGAAGCACGTGGGGGTTCCTTGCATGAGTTTGCACGAAATGGGGAACAACATACTGGAAGGATTCTTGTGGGTTACCTGGTCGCCGCCAACAAAGGCACACCCACAAGCCCTCTTGAAAGACCACCAGCCCCAACCTCAAACCTCAAATTGGCCCCAAAGTCCACGCGAATGGTCTAAACCTCTCACTTCGGGATCCTGAAAAGCACCGAGGCTCCGGGTGGAAGGAACCGAGACCAGCGCACAAACCTGATCTCTGTGTTTGTGTGTCTGTTTGTGTCTTTTGTGTGTTTGTGTGCGTGCGTTGTGTGTGTGTGCAGCGTGTTGTGCGTCTGTGTGTTGTTGAAAGTTGGCTTAAATGGCAACCAAACGGACAACTAAATGCCAATGATGTCCTGGGTATTTCTCACAAAAATGGTGACCCTGAAATTTCTCAAAAATGGTGACCCTGAAGCACGGATTCCAAAAAAACAACTTTTGCTTTAACCAACCGAAGATGAGGGGAAAAAGGGTCGCCAACTCGGGACCAGTGAGAATGCGAGCTCCTTTGGTTCCCCTCGGCCTGGTTTGCAGACCCGGTCCAGCTCTGCGAAAATCTTCCGCTTGAGGTCCATATTTTCGAAGACCGCCTGGTCAACGCTTAGCCGCACCAGGAATTAGGTCCTCCAGATTTGAGAGGTTAGAATAAGAGTACCAACTTTTATGTAGTCTATTTTAGTAGGGGAACCCTCCCCAAAAAACGGGTAAAAGGGCACTACTGAGGGACCTAGACAACTGACAAATTTTTGGACGCGGCAAATACAAAAAGACAACCATTCAATCCAGGCGAATGGAACAGGGAAGACAACACTTGGCAACAAAGGGCAAAGGTGTAAGAAATCTGTAAGTTTCTATCCAGGTTTATCTGTGGGTTTAAACACAGAGGGTCACAACTTTTTTTGGACATAGCGATTCAGTTGTCGGCCTCTTTGCTTGGGGAAAAAGCAACCAACCCCCTGGCTTCCGTTGAAGAACGCTCACAGCATCGTCACACCTGGTAAACCCCAATTGGCTTGTTGCCAGAAACATATGAGTAGCGAGCAAACTCCTTTACTAAACTCAATTTTCGGAACTTGGGTGGCTCCCTATTTTCGGTGAATTGTTCGGTGAAAAAAAAGGCGTCTGTAGTATCGCAATTTTGGGTGGTATAGCTTTTTGCGGGCGTCTGACTACTTTTTTTGCCAGCCCCACTCCCCGAATTTCATCGAAGACTACGACTTTTTGTCGGATATGGCACGAAAAGATGGACTCACGTGAGCTGCGATCGCGGACACCTCACGTCCAGCGAGAAGCGAAGAAACAAGGCGCAGGCGGGGAAACAGTTTGCCTCCATTTGCATAAAGCCCCTTGGAAAAAACAAAAACAAATCCCATAGTGACATATAGATTCCCTTTAAAAGCAAGAGGGGGAAATAAACAATATTCTTGAGCAAATGGAAGTTTGGCCCACCTAAAACTTGGGCCACCCAGTTCCGTGGTCATTTGGGGCTCCAAATCAACTTGTATGACGCATGTTTAGTCCCCCTCTGCCGATGAATGCCAATGCCAGAAGCCACTTCTTCAAGAGGGTGTAGAGAGCTGTACAAAACAAACCGGAACACGGAACAAGTCGGGCCCCGTTTTGATAGGTACAGGCTTTAATAGACAAAGGAACCTTGGGAGCACAACTCATGTTGCCTGCAACGTAACCCCCCCCCATGTCCAAAAAATACAAAAAACAACAACACAATTCTCTGCACAACCTACCACAAGGTGTGGCAAACAGAACTCCCAGACTCATGGGTTGCTTGGAATACATGCAACAGCCTTGAGGATAACCGTATGCTTCCCCTGGCAATGTGTTCGTTCAATCTGTAAAAAACCAAAGTAAAGACTTGACGATGACGTTTCAGTGGGAGCAGTATGGAAGACACGTTCCAAGGTCCAAAGCATTATAGGATATTGTACAGGGCTCTGCACTTTGGTCCTTGCGAATTGCTCTAAGCTGCTGATTCGCAGAACAGCTTCACGGGCTTCATGGTGGGCGTCGCTTTAAATGTAAAAACTCAAACTTGTCAGTGGAAAACATTTCACCCTCTTGGGTTCATTGAATGGACACCAAACACCAATGTGTGGTTGTTTGTTCTATCAGAGCACCATGCCAAATTAGTAAAGGAGGAACCCGACACCTCCTGGCGCTGAAAAGGTCCAGGCGGGTCCAGGTCCAACCCCAGAACTTCTGAAAAAAAAGAGCTGAACGATGTGATCCGTCTATGGCCAAATAGTTCTTGGGCGGGACGCCCTTGTGCATCAATATCCTCTTGGACAAGAGGTAATATTGACGGTGGCTCACAGGCCTGCGTGTCAGGGAACATCTGGAAGCAGTTCAAAGCGCAAGCAATGTGAATCGGTGATTTCTGGGGCATCTAGTTGTGACGAAGTCACAATCACAACTTGGTATCAAAGGAGAAGCCTACCCAAAGCAATGGTAAACAATTGACGGGCAAGTGCCTGCTCCAATTTCTGGGTGGGACTGCTACCGCTACCTGTTGGGTGCTGAAGAATATATACACAGCACCCCCCCCGTCAAAGAAGAGGGTCGATTCTGGGTTTTCGTTTGCCTTCAAAAGGGGTTCCCAAAAGCAAAGCAGACCCGGTGTGAACTGGAGAGGGGTCCTTTTGAAAGCAATAGTCAAAGCAGTGCCATCTATTATATCAAAGCATAACCAGACCCACCTGTGGACAGCTGTGAACTCAGGGGAGTGACAGTCTCCAAAAGTTGGTGCTGGCTATAACGTAACAGGGAACCACCTCAAAAACGATGGGTGGGCATTGACATAAATGCCTACTCAAATGATGTCCGAAGAGTCCAACCACTTTAGATTCACATCATACCAATTGAGTCACATGAAGGTGGTAACTTGCAAGTGACGACTGACTCATACAGAAGAGTACTACCTCCATGTCCACCATCAGGTCCAATCACATACCCAACTGGGTTCCTTTCGAATGCTGCGATCGGAACTTTCCCGCGGCATCGCCTCCACCACGATGTCGCAGTGGCCCAAGGAGTCATAGGAGGTGCTCGGAGTGATGCTGGCCAAAAGGCCATCCACTTGAGCCTGGCATGCGTGCGACAACGGGACGCGAAATGGGCTGGACGTGGATTGGTGTGTTTAGGGAAAAGAAACACCACCCTTTCACACATCACAACTACAGCAAGGCCACATCAGCATAGATCTGCTGCATGTCTACTCGTGATTGGTCGCCGCAAACATGCCAAAGGGACAAAACAAGAACTCAGAATATGAAGTTGATCGAATCTGATCGCATTGCTAGATTTGTATGTGTGCACCTTCTTTTCAGGGTACCATTTTGGGTTTCAAACGGAAAACAAAAGGACCGATCACAATTTCGGGGATTCGATTCTTATTTTGAGACACCCCTAAGGAGCAACCGAGGGGAATTGCCTGCGACTTGCTCTTGCGCTCCACGCTCCGCGCGTAGTTCTTCTTGATGGCCTTGAAGTCAGCGATAGATGTGGAACACCGCGAAATTGATTGACGTGATTGACGTGCCCAGAGGTTTCCTTGAAGGACAACTGACAGTAACTTTCAACACTGGGTGATTTAGAACGCTTGCTCACTTGAGTCGATTGGCCCACAAAAAGTCCAAGCTTGTTGCTTGCCACCACTGTCATCAGAAGGATCTAAGGGAGTGGATAGCTTGGAATCGCCAAATCCAAACACCGGGAAGCAAAGCCAAGTGTTTCGACTCTTCGACGTGGAAGATGGTGCCCCTTTCTGCGATTCCAAAGTCATTGCGGGATTCCAAAGTCGCTTCTCCCGGCGATTCCGCTGTCACTATCTCAGGGATTCCCTTCTTCAACTCAAAGATCAGGTGGCTCGTCGCGACCTCGAACCGACCACATTGCCCAACCGTGCTCTGCAGGGCTCGGCCGACTGTTTAAACATGAACTTCAACACCCCATTTATCGTGAAGAACTTCCATTCGGTCCGTACACAAAAAACTACGTGTTGCTGCAAGAGGGAAATGAAGGACACCATTTCAATGCCAAAGAGGCAGAAAAAAAAAGGTGAGCATATATGGCAATGTCAGATGGTCTACTGCCTGGCTGGTCAAACGCTTCAGCAAAAGGTCCCTATTCAGAACCCCGCCCTGTGCCCCGGTTGCTCGATTTCACAGGTTGTCACACAAAAATGGCTCCAACAAGGCATGCCCTGTTTGATCCACCCTCATGTAGGCGTTACGAACCCCCCCCCATAACACCACGCAAAACGTTCCAACATGTTGGGCCAACTTTGCTGGGTGTTGGGAACTCAACCTGAGCTTGGACAAGGGCAGTCATGCCCCTGTCGAGGTTCTTTTGGTCGATATCCAGCAGCACAACCTGCAGCTGGAAAAAACAGATCGCTACTTTCTTCCTCGGAAGAACACTGTCTTGGCGAAACTCCCACTGGCCCTTGCGAAACAAGGCACTCATTCTGTTGATGGTCGCTTTGTAGTAGAAAGCCAATGGAAAACAACACGGAATGGTGCCGCCAAACTTCTGCAGGTGAGGCGAACTCTGGAGTTGTATGCGCAGCGGGAATCAAGCACAAAGAGCACTGATCATGTGGTTTTATGCCGGTGGACGACATACAGTAAAGTATACATTATTATATAGAAAGAGAGTAAGAGAGAGAGAGAGAGAGAAATAATAGTTTTCTATACACATTGTATACATATATACATTCCCTAGTGGTAGTAGGCAAGGAGAGGTAGCAGCCTGGCACCCGTGAAAATGGCTGGTGTCCGAAGTACTGCTTGAAACCGCCCGAAATAGGGTATATATAATATATATAGCTTCCCGAGCAGATCAGGTGAGCTCCTTGTCTCTTTTGCGTGAGGTTGCCTGAGAGGCGGCCCTCTTGGAAATGGTTGCAACCAAAAGCAAAGCAATGGACAGCCAGATGCCCCTACCACCAAAAACCAGGAATCTCTCGAAGTGTAGATGCGGTTTTCCTGGTACCAGGGGCGCCGCCCCGACTGGAGGGCTTACTCATGGTCCACCTTGACTGCCGAATACCCGGGTCTCGCAGCGCCATCCTGTGCTTACCCCCACTTGGATTTGAATTATATTTGGTGAGTCTCAAAATAAGGAGGCCCCCCCAAAACTGGGAAATGTCCCCTTTAACTTTGACTCCTAAGGAACCCTGAAAAACACAGGCCCCCCGAAAACTGGGAGGCATGTTCTCTTTGACTCCTAAGGAACCCTGCAAAGCACCTTGGGTTCGGTTTCCTCGGGCTGTTTGTATGTCACCAAACTCATCGAGGTCGAATATAACACGACACAAGGGCGGAGAGGATAGCCCTCCTGGCAAGGGCGCCGTATCTTGGGTTCCAGGTCGGTTTGCTGGGGGAAAACTTCAACTATGACTATAGTGCGTAGCAATGGGTTAGCACACCCAACTAATGGGCACACTTTGCAGGAGAGTTTGCGGGACATGGGTGGGAAGTTCCACAATTGGTGGGCCTTGTTCCTACTGATTGGTTACCGATTGTACTGTTGACCCCTGACTGATAAACCCCCAGGTCTTAATCCGTCTCTGTCCCCCTGGAAGAAAGGAGGGCCGAAAAAAACAACCAATACACATACTAACAAGGGGGAGGGTAATTAACCAAAAGAATGACCGCCTTTTTGGGGCCTCCCCTAAAAGCATGCGCCACCTATAGCTTTGGATAGGACTATATGGCCATGGGTCAAAATCCCGTACCCCCAGTGAGCATGCAAATCCCCACTAACATAGACTAAAAAATTGGTGGTGCACCTACCCCAAAATGGTACCATTGGTTTTGACCCACAGCCGTATAGGTGCCTTGACGACGAGGCAAGGCGCGCGGGCACAGGAGAGCCGGCCTTGATGCCATTCTCTGCACAGCACATGGCAATGCCGCTGCCCATCCTCAGTGCCCAAGTGGTTGGGCTGCCCTCAGATCCCCTGCTAAAAGTTTAACTTTAAGTAGGTTGATTACATGGAAATCCCCACTTATAAACCCTGAAAAGCTAAAAAGGCTGAGGGGATGGCTGGGAGCCACCAACGTGGTTGGTGTCCGGTTGGTTTCCTTTGAAAGCAACAAGAAGGAGTACCATCAAAAAGCAGTCACACCCATTTGTTCAAATGGGGTAGCCAGCCCAAGATGGGAAGTTGTCCATCGTTTGCCCGAAAAGGGCAGCCTCTCATGTCTGAGTGGGTGTGTCTGTTTTTAAGGGAGTCCACAGACCCTCACCTGGGGGGCAACAACATAGTTATCCCCGGTTTCGGCACCTTGGTCACCAACCAACGTTTGACATTTTTTTTGCTGGGATAGGCAGGGAATGGAATGAACCGTGTTGGGTTTCCCTGAAAGGAAATCAAATCGCGCATTGTTTACATCGGGGTCTATCGACCAGCAAGTTTTCGGGACCAAGTTGAAGACACTTGCGTCACTCCAATCTCGAGCCCGGGCAGGGCTGACGGCCTGGAATCCCCCATAGGAATTGGCAGGGCCGCGTGATTTTTTTGATTTAGTATTCCTTTTGTCACGCGCGAGTAGGTGGCTCTTCCATGGTGTGTAGGTGGCTCCTAAAAAAACACGGGTTGTGGAAAATGTTCGTACCAAGCTCTGGACCATGGATTGGTTTTGGTACGATGGACTGCGCGCTCCAATACAGAAAATTGAACACATAGAGTTTGGACGTTTTGTTCTTCTTGAGGGTCACGTTACAAGGGAAGCTGTGGGGTCTGGAGGGGTTTTAGAGGCTTGTTTCAAGGTGTTTTCAAGATCCTTTCTGTCCAGCAGCCTCAATTTAAATCTGGCCTTTAGAAACCTTCTAAGCACGGAACCACCTAAATAGATTGCCCGCCCAACTTTTTGATGGCGTGTTATTTGGGATTGGGGAGGCCCCCTGGCGGGGTGTTTCCAAGCAAGCGGCGCCCCACTCACTGCCCACAGCTTGATACTTGAAGGCCGGCGTTCTCCCTGCTCATCTTTCAGGAAAAGGTCCATCCCGAGACAAGTTTCTTAAAGACCCCGATTCGGATCTGCAGAGCGGGGAATGGGGGGCGGAGGGGCAACAGCCTTGCGCATGTGCAAGCCAAGGGCGCAATGTGACGTGGCCTCGCGTATGGATGCTGCATCCAACTTGATCAACCCAAGCTTAAATATTTTGGCAGGTTCTTCCAATGTCTGAAGGATGCACGTGAGAATGCACCTGGCCACGTCTCTTAAAACCTGCAATATATTTACAGCAAGATGAAATTCATCGGCGTCAAATAGGTTTAGGTGTACGTCCAAACTGTCAATAGAAATCGTGTGGGCGCAAATAACTTGACAGGGGTGTGTCTTAAAATACAAAGACACCCACAGTTTTGGTTTTTCTCTCTTGGCATCCCTTGAAACCCAGCAAAACAAACTCGGTTGCTCTCTGCTCCACTGCTAAAAGTTTAACTTTTAATGGTGTAATGGAAAACCCATTAGTTGGCAAAAAGTTGTTCAGTCCTAACATCCTTTGCCAAAATTCGCCAAACAAAAGGCACCTTCAAAAGAAACGACACACCGACCATTCTGGCTGTACCTTCCCCATTCTCTTCAGGGATCCTTCTCTTCAAAGAACAGATCCGTGGGAAAATGGGTGGTTTCTAAAGAGAACGATGGGTGAAGAGAACGGGGAATCAACCCTTAGAACCATGCCGAACGTTCCGCCAAATTTTCGGCGCAACGCCGAGCGTCAAGCCGGCGCCCACGATGCCACAGGTGCCGGGCGCCGCAGCCTTGTCCAAGCCTGCATGGATCCCCTGGGCCTATGGGGTACACGGCAAACCATATGGCCATGGGTCAAAACTCCGGTTAGCCCCCAGTGAACATCCCAATCCCCACTAAAATAAACCAAAATGGGTGGTGCACCTACCTCAATATGGTACCATGCGTTTTGACCATAGGCTCCCCTGCCCTGGGTGACCTTTTCCATAGCTGTTTTTGGGTAACTGGGGCAAAATCAAATTCCAGACACATCTATTCTGAACCAACACCTAAAAAGGACAACTGAGTCATATCAAAACCTGGTATTAAAATGGTCTACCCAAGACTATGTAAAGAATTAAGAAGGCGGCCGCAGCTATTTATGGTTGGGATTGTCCCCTACAACCTTCATCTACCTGAGTTTCAATTGCGTATGTGTCAAAACAGGCGGACCCCCTACATTTGGGGGTGGTTTGCGTTTGGTGTCCTTTTTCTATAACACCATGCCCGTGTGTTCAGATTCTGTTTCATATCTAGTCTACCAAGAAACAGGACATGTGTTTTGGTAGGAGAAAGACCCAAGGCTACTCCAAACACTTTCGCGGTTCTAAGGGTATCGGTCAACCCCACAGCAGGTTCCGCTGCTCCAAACGCCACAATTGTTCAACCGCACACACAAGTGGGTATGCCCAGGGAGGGTCGTTTATCTCCACAAATCTCCAGTGGCCTGGGCAACAAACTCTGGCGCCTTTTGATGTTTGTTACCTTCATTTGCGTTTTGTGCCCCTGGAAAAGAAACACAAACAACACAGATTTCCAGTAGGCTCTCTTGAAATAGTCGTGACAAATAAATCGACGGTTGTGGTAGCTGCTTTTTTGACTCAAGCCCACAAAACAGAATTGGGGGCACTGAACCGACATTTGCCATACGGGTCAAGCTGTTATGTCAACTCACCCACCACCATCAGCGAGACAAATTGAACATTGCTGCTTGGCTTTTCAGGGCTCCTCATATTTGCCAAATTGATCAACCTAGTAAAAAACAACACCCACCTGTTAAAGGTGATGTGGAAAAACCTCGCCATTCACCTCTCGGGCTCTCCCAGCAGGGCGCTCAAGCGTTAAAACAGCCCCCAACTCAACGGGGACTTGCGGCCATGGCGGTGGCGCACGCAGCCTGCCCTTTCGAAGTACACTCATTGAAGAGGATGTTCTTGTTTAAACAACAAGGTGTTGACTTGACATGGGTGTGTCTGAAAATAGAAAGACACCCAAAATGTTGGCTTTTTCATCTTGGCATCCCTTAAAACCCACCAAGCAAAAGGCACCTTCAAAGAAACGGCACACCCACTGACTCCTCCAGTTGAGAGGTTTGTTAATAAGGGTACCCGAATTGTTTTTCTGTCGTCTATTTAGTAGGGCAACCCTCCCCCAAAAAAGGGTAAAAGGGCACTACTGGGGACCTAGACAAGATTCAGCCATCAAAAAGGCAAATAGCTGAAAACCCGAATTTTTCATTTGTTTAATCAAAGCAGCTCATTTGTTGAAAAGATAGGTGGGGTGAACAAGAAGACACCTACGAACCATTAGCGTGGACCGGACCCGCCCAAGTTCACAGACGGCCTGGGACCTTCTGGCACTGGCGCTGAGCAAAGAACATGTACCTGGCAAACAGAAAACTTGGCAAATTGGCCGCTGCGCTAAAAGTTCAACTTGTTGCTCCCGTATCGCTATGGTTGGTAGAGATATCGGTCTTAGACGATAAGCAAAGAACATGAGGAGCACGCAAAACAGGCCCAAGCGCTTTTTTCAGGGCCATTCAACTTGTTTGCCGGCTAGGAAGCAGGAAGACACATTTTTTATCCAACAATACAGGCATGTTCGGCATGCAAAATCAATGAAACAAGATTCTCGCACAGCAAGGACCAGTACAAATGCTAAGAGTTCTTGTGTTGAGATCAATACAGGAGGCCCCAAATCCCGCAAGTCCCATCGCGATTGCTATTGGCTTTTCGTTGGTGATCCCTGTGGCTTACTCTGTTGGTTCCATTCCATCCTTGAATAATCCCGTTCCAAACCTTGGCCAAAGCTAACTATGCAAACTGCAAAGATCCCACGCTACAGCGCTGGCCTACAATGAAACAGGGCATGCCTACCCGTGTCATTATTTGCGATACTTCTAGAATTGATCAAACCCGCCTAACAAGTTCAAGGGAAACACACTGGCCGAAAGAGCTTTCCCCAGTTTCTGACTTGGACAACCCTCACTTGCCCAAAGAGCCTGGGAATAAAAGGTTAACCTTTTGGGACCTCTACTAAAAATGGACCAAAAAAGAACAACCAAAAGGTCAAAAGGTGAATTCGCTTTGAACAAATCGTGGGCTGAGACACGGGGCCCGGCTAAACAGGAGGACAAAAACAAACGAACGAGGCCCAGATGTTGGGCGATTCTCCGTGGGCTTTAATAAACTCAGATGCCAGTGGCCACCGGAAACAAAAAGGGCATCCTTCTTTGGTTGGTTGAGTTTAAAGGAATCGCCAACAAGGTTGAAAACAAAAAACGTAATCCGCCGGGCAAGTGGGTAAAAATTGGGCTCCGAAATCGGATGCGATCGGGTCCCCCCAGAGCATTAATTTTCCGTGAGCCGAGTGGCTGCAGAGCTTGTGCTTGAGGACCCACCATCAGCTTGCCTTCAGACTGGGGCTTGCAGTTTTTGTTGCCAATCCATGAGGAACCTGTTCTTGGTTTCCAGGCAACAAGTTTTGCAGCCAGGTTTGCAATGCGATCCTTTCAATTGAAACGAAGAGGGGATCTTTCCAAAGGGAGGGTTCCCCCAGGCTGCCCAGCAAATTATGTTTTCAAAGATTCCGAGAACGGATTCTGGAAAGGGTTCTCCTCGAACCTTTGCGAGGGAGGGAGGGGGTGCGGGACGCCGGATCACACGCTCCAAAGTTCGATCCGAAAGGGACAAGCACCCAACCAGCTCCTTTAGGCCCACTTTGGCCCTGGCAAAATTCGGAGAACTCCACCTTCATCGCATCCTGAACTAAGGGCTCAAGACAAACGGCGAACTGCATTGAGTGGAACAAGGCTGCAGGTTTCAGGCTCTCTTGGCTGGGACGATGAACATCCTGAAACAACAGATCTCAAAGGCTGGCTGTATGTCAAAACCGCTGCCCGCCTTTGCAGACGGTAAGATGGAACCTATTGGGCCCCTTTGTAAGTACGCATCCTTTTGCCGGGGAACTCGTAGTTGAAACCAACAACTTTTCGGAGTCCCGAGTTCCGATGTTGTTGCCTCATCAAGGCCTAAGGGCCTGCTGGAAGAAGCAGTAGGGGCGCAAATCAGTTCCCAACAAAGTCCAAACCCGATATTTGCCACTGAAGTTCACGAAAGGCATCAAGCCAGAAACTTGGGAACGCTTAACAAAGCATGTCCGACCAGCATACCGCCAAACAACAACACGGAACCTGACACATACACACACACATACACACAAACAAACAAACAAACAAACAAACAAACAAACAAACAAACAAACACACAAACAAACAAACAAACAAAGAAACAAACAGCCAAACAAACAAACAATCAACCGACACAAACAAACAAACAAACAAACAAACAAACAAACAAACAACCAACCCAACCAACCAAACAAACAAACAAACAAACAAACAAACAAACAAACAATCACACAAACGAACAAAAACAAACAAACAAAAAACAAACAAACACACAAACACACACACAAACACGCAGACACAGACAAACAGACACACAGACACACAGTCACACAGACACACAGACACACACACACACAGACACACACACACACCTGCACACACCCACACACACACACACACGTAAAACCACACAGACAGCAACACGGACACACAGACACACAGACACACACACACAAACACACACACACAAACACACAGACACACAGACACACAGACACACAGACACACAGGCACACAGACA